TTTTGGTACTTGAGTTGCAAGGTCTCTAATTGTTAAGACGGTACCCTTAGCAATTGGTATGGCCGCAATTTGAGCCAAATGGCGTCTTAAGTACTGATCTGTCAATTGACATTTGATACGAGTCTGACGACTCTTTCCAAAATTTCTTTCAGAAATGGACCGTGGTGGCAAGGTTACTAGGAGAAACCCGACTAGCCGTGTACCACCGTGAGCGTGAGGAGAGGAGGGAATGCCGAAGGCGCCGAGCTAGGCAACCTTCGGGCATGGCTTCGAGAGGAGGAAGCCATGGTGCTTCTAGGGCCCATGATGAACCACATGGAGGCCATGGTGATGGAGGTCCAACCATAAGGATCTCAAAATTCATCAAAGAGGCAAGAGATTTGGGGTGTAAACTGTTCGATGGAACAGGGGATATTTCGGTTGCCGCACAATGGATCAAGAGGCTAAATGAAGCAGCCCTTGACATGCAAATCACGCCAAATCTTAAACTGAGAATTGCGGTAAGATTGTTTGAGGGGATGGCATCCAAGTGGTGGGATGGGACCAAAAGCAAATATGGCGAGACCGTCACTTGGGAGAATTTCCGACAGGAATTCTTCGCACAATACTACTCGGATTTCGAGGTGAACAAAAAGGTGAGGGAATACACCCTCCTAACCCAAGGGGGTAACATGACGGTGAGGGAACTTGAGTACAAGTTCAGGGACCTTGCTGACTACATACCGGAGTATGTTTGTGACGAGAACCGTATGGTGAACCACTTCTGGGATGCTCTAGACTTGGAGATACGTGATAGGGCAACCCAATTGCCTAACATGACATTCGCTCAAGTGGTTGACCAAGGGTTGAAAAGAGAGAAACAATGGGAAGAAAGGAAGAAGAGAGACGCCGAGGAGGCGAAAAAGAGAAAATGGGAGAGTCATGGCTCTCAAGGTTCCAACAAAAAGGGGAACCATGGAGGAGGATCCTTCCGGGCACCACCGCCACCATCTAAGGGGAACCAAGGCCTGAGTGGGCAAGGATCGAGATCACAAACCTCAGTGGTAACTCGTTGCAACAATTGCAAGAAGAACCACTCCGGTAAATGTCGCGACCCCCCTAGATGTTTCCAATGCGGGGATGCCCGGGCATTTGAAGGCGCATTGCCCACAATTGGGTGGGGCAAGGTCATCGGGACCAAGTAGCGGGGGTACGGGGACAAGAAACCAAGTCGGGGGTTACCAAGTGACCAGGGGGCAAGGGGGAGCAAGCGCGAGCAACGCGCCATCCGTGAATCATGGAAGGACTCAAGCTAGAGTCTATGCGATGACGGAGGCGGATGCTCGAGCTAACCCGGACTCGGTTGCAGGTATTGTCTCTTGCACAATTGTATTTTTGTCCATGATTAGTCCATAAATTGATGACATAAGTCATAGGGATTGAGTGCGAGCCATCCCGGGGTCAAAACGGGGAAATTCGGGCCTAAACTGACCGAAAACAGGGATGCACGATCGTGCGTCCAACCCCACGCACGATCGTGCGTAGGGGGCAGTGGCTCCGGATGATTTTCACGCAAGACGCACGACCGTGCGTGCCGGTACGCACGCCGTGCGTGGACGCACGATCGTGCGTGTCCAGGTACGCACGACCGTGCGTAACCGGCAGTAGCCGGAAACGAGTTATTCACGCACGCACGACCGTGCGTGCCCCACGCACGACCGTGCGTGGATCCCAGTCGCCCGAAACTTGAGTTTTTCATCTCGTTCTTCTACGATTGGACCCCCGTTTGATTCCAAACATTAATATGGACCCAATAACCTCCTAAAAGTGTCCAAAAACATTAGAGAAGGTATCTTATATGGTGTATAAATGTAGGAACATTAAAGATTAATGGGAAAGACGCACGAATCCTTATTGATACCGGAGCGTAACGTTCATTCGTGGGTGAGGCGTTTGCCGAGGGCTTAGAGATACAATCAATACCAATGACGCAAACTTTATTGGTATCAACACCACTAGGGGATGACGTTGAAAGAACCTGTTACTATCCATCTTGTGAGGTGGAAATCGATGGCCAAACCTTGACGTGTGATTTCGTACCGCTGAGTATGATGGAATTCGATGCAATCCTAGGGATTGATTGGCTAGAAAAGCATCATGCTAGGGTAGATTGCTACACAAAGGGTTTTGGAACTCGAAGGCAATGATGGGGACACCCTACGCTTCGAGGGGGATCGAGGCAAATCAAACAGCTGTATCATATCCGCCGTGAGAGCGAGAAGTATGATGAGAAAGGGATGCCACGCATATCTAGCATATGTGGTTGACAAAACCAAGGAGGAGATGAACATCGACGACGTGAGGGAGCTTTGTAAGTACCCGGATGTCTTCCCTAACGACCTGCCGGGGCTTCCACCTGATAGGGAGATTGAATTTGTGATCGAGGTCGAGCCTGGTACCAAAGAAATCTCCATACCGCCATACCGTATTGCACCCGCTGAACTTAACGAGTTGAAAACCCAATTGCAAGAGCTATTGGATAACGGTTTCATTAGACCAAGCCACTCCCCGTGGGGAGCACCAGTTCTTTTTGTGAAAAAGAAGGATGGGACACTTCGAATGTGTATTGACTATCGTCAACTGAACAAGGTCACAATCAAGAATAGGTATCCTTTACCAAAGAGTGCTTTTCGCACAAGGTATGGGCATTTTGAATTCCTTGTTATGTCGTTTGGGTTAACAAACGCCCCAGCGACATTCATGGACTTGATGAGCCGAGTATTTCATAAATACCTGGACCGATTTGTGATTGTGTTCATAGATGACATCTTGATTTACTCAAAGAGTGAAGAAGAACATGAGGAGCACTTGATACTTGTCCTTGAGACACTACGGGAGAAGCAACTCTATGCCAAATTTTCTAAATGTGAATTTTGGCTAAAGGAAATTGGCTTTCTCGGGCATGTAGTTTCGAGATCGGGAATTGCTGTTGATAGCAAGAAGATAGAAGCCATTATCGAATGGGAGAGGCCAAAGAACGTCAAGGAAATTCGTAGTTTCCTTGGGTTGGCAGGCTACTACAGAAAGTTCTCCGTTTTGGCATCACCGTTCACAAAGCTCACTCGTAAAGGAGCTAAGTTTGTATGGGATGACAAATGTGAGAAAGGGTTCATTGAACTAAAGAAGAGATTGACCGAGGCACCGGTACTTGCATTACCCAAACAGGGTATGGGGTACGATGTCTATAGTGACACGAGCATCCAAGGGTTTGGATGTGTGTTGATGCAGGAGGGGAGGGTAATTGCCTATGCTTCACGACAGCTGAAGAAGCATGAGGTAAATTACCCTACCCATGATCTAGAGTTGGGAGCGGTGGTGTTCGCACTGAAGATTTGGAGACATTATCTCTACGGAGAGACATGTCACATATATACTGATCATAAGAGTTTGAAGTACGTGTTTACTCAAAAAGAGTTAAACATGAGACAGAGACGGTGGATGGAGTTGATAAAGGACTACCATCTAGTTATTGAGTACCATCCTGGTAAGGCAAACGTTGTAGCAGATGCCCTCAGTCGGAAGAGTTCGTCTGGGGCACTGTTGACTAGTTTGAGGGCACTGAGGGCCCAATTGGATGTATCTAGTGATGGTGCCTTATTGGCACGATTTGAGGTGAGACCGACCTTACTTGATGAGATCAAGAAGGGTCAAGAGACTGACGCAGAACTTATGAAGGTCCGGGAACGCATGCAAGCGGGACCGGTGGAGGATTTCAGAGAAAGAGATGATGGTCTCTTGTTATTTCGTGACCGAGTGTGTGTACCGTCAGATGATGAGCTCCAAAAGTCCATCTTAGAGGAGGCTCATTCATTGGCTTATGCCATGCACCCGGGGGGCACGAAAATGTACCGTGACTTGAAAGAAAGTTACTGGTGGTCTGGAATGAAGAGGGAAATAGCCGAATACATCAGTCGATGCCTTACTTGTCAACAAGTTAAAGCAGAACATCAGCATCCAGCAGGCTTATTGCAACCACTTTCCATTCCAGAATGGAAGTGGGAACACGTGACTATGGATTTCGTGGTAGGTTTACCACGGACAATCAGGAACTATGACGCAGTTTGGGTTGTTGTAGATAGGCTCACGAAGAGTGCACACTTCTTACCTATCAACACTACTTACCCACTTGAGAGGTTAGCCAAATTGTATACGGATGAGATCGTGAGGCTACATGGGGTTCCAGTGACCATTATATCCGATAGAGACCCACGATTCACATCACGTTTTTGGCCGAAATTTCAGGAGTCTATGGGAACAAGGTTGAAGTTCAGTACTGCCTTCCATCCACAGACGGATGGGCAGTCTGAAAGAGTCATACAGATCTTAGAAGACATGCTGAGGTCTTGTGCATTGGAGTTCCAAGGAAGCTGGGACAACCACTTAGCACTTGTGGAGTTTGCCTATAACAACAGTTATCAGGCAAGCATCGACAAGCCTCCATACGAGGCATTGTATGGGAGGAGGTGCTGTACACCGTTATGCTGGGACGAGGTTGGCATGGACAAACTCGAGGGTACTGAGTTGGTTGAAGTCACCAAGTCAAAGGTGAAGTTTATTCGAGAGAGACTCAATTACCAGTACCGACAATGTCTTCAGATAACAGTCCGAAATGAATTTCGGAGACTTTTAAATTAAAGTTGGGGAATGTACATTCATTCTTTAGACCCATAATTGTTATGGACATGTAATATATTTTATTTTGACCCGATAAAATAAAGTATAGTTAAAACAGTCCGAGAAATACAACTTTCGGGGCAGAATGGACACTTTGGGACATATAAGGGTGACCTCCCACCTGGGTGGGGGCCACCCCACGAATTTATCAATCAATGTGGGGCTGATTGATTCCAAATTGGCTGAGAGCTCTTGAGAGGATGGGGGGAACACCTTTGACATCCAAAGGGACCCTCTCACCCATAATAGCTCAAAGAGACAAAAAAAGGAAGGCACACCCCTCTCCCATCCACCATTCTCGACCAGAACCACCCAAGGAAAGAAGGGAGAGCTCTACAACTCCATTCCCATAGCCAAATTCGAAGCTCAAGCTTAAGGAGTCCAAAGAAGGGGTTTTAAGGAGGAAAAAGTGAAGAAAAGTGTGAAAGATTAAGGTAATGACCTTATATTAACTTTTCCTTTATTTTCCTTCCATCATATGAGCTACATATCATATGGAGACCCTTGAGGATTGTTCTACATGGCTAAAGTGTAGGACAATGGGTTGAAAGGTGGTTCTAAGTCCAAGAGCGGACTTAGAAGCCATAGAGACCGGTTCACCGGAAAATAACCTTTTAAGGGTTATTTGTATTGATTAAGGTTTTATGATGTTAAAACCTTGTTAGGCACTTGTAAAGGGTGATTTAAGAACTTTCACGAAGTTGAAAGAGTTACCGGAGTTGTCGCCGGAGTTCATCAAAGTTCGCCGGAGTTTCATCGGAGTTCAACCGGGAAGGGTAGAACTTCATAACACTCATTCGAGGTGAGTGGACGGCTTAATGTATTATAACTCTTGGGTTAAGTATGAGATTACCTAAATGAATGTTATAAGTATTCATAATGATGTTTAAAAGAGTTTAAGCATGTGATTAGCCAAGGTGATTAGGCTTATGTGAATGAAACTACATGATTATGCATGTGGGAAGTAGAAAATATATATAAAAATATATGTGATGTTTTGGATGGCCAAAATGACATTTATTGATTGTTTTAGATATGATATAGGTTGTATAAAAATTTCGGATCAAACGGATCACGTTTCGGGGGTCAACTCGGGGGTCAACGGGCCGTTGACCCAAAACTCCGAACATACCCGGCGCCGGGTATAGGGCATACCCGGGGCCGGGTAAGTTGCTGCCTCCATATTACGTTTTTGCCGAAAACGCGAATCGGAGCCCGGTTCGAAGGGGGGTTGATCCCGTACAACCTATCTGTGTATATTGTGCATGGAATTGCATGGAATATGATATTTAAATGTCAAGGTTGATATTTATTGATTTAATTCTAAGACTTGGTTTAGTCTTTAGTAATAATATGATATAGACCCTATTTAGTGTGATATGTGGTAAGTCATAGGTCGGGTGGAGTACCCAGGGATCGGGCGTGTATCCTCAGAACTCAGTTATAGGGTGGAGTACCCAAGGATCGGGCGGTTATCCTCAAAACTCGGTTATATAGGGTGGAGTACCCAAGGATCGGGCGGTTATCCTCAAAACTCGGTTATATAGGGTGGAGTACCCAAGGATCGGGCAGTTATCCTCAAAACTCGGTTATATAGGGTGGAGTACCCAAGGATCGGGCGGTTATCCTCAAAACTCGGTTATAGGGTGGAGTACCTAAGGATCGGGCGTGTATCCTCAAAACTCATAGATTACATTTAATAATCTAGGACCGAGGTGGTGTCCCAATGGTAATTTACTTGAACAAGGAGGAGTTCTATACACTCATAGGTATATGGGTGGGTTGGGATTTAAGTCAAGGACATTGGCTTCTATTATTTTCCCAAATAAACAATGACCTACGGGTCGGGTATTTCCAAGTGTATATATACTAATATGTATTTCAAAACTTGGGGGAAGGACTATACGTATATGTATCACCCTATGTTTGGGTCTTATACTTGAAACGTTAGTTATTCTACATTTAGCCTGCTACTCGCTCGGTACTTGTACTGACCCCTTCGGGGGGGGCCACCATTTCAGGTTGAAGCTCAAGTTGCTATTCTCACCTTGCTCGGTGAAGTGATCCAAAGGGAGACGTGGTTCGTGCTTCCTTTATTGTTTTCAAACTATAAACTATGCTCATGGATATTTTGTAATAAATACATTTGTTTTGGGCCTGCATGCCTACGTTTTGGCCAAGTGTGGCCCACGATTGAATATTGAATATTTCCGCTATTCGTTCAATCCTATTATGTGATGTTGTTATGTATGTTTACTTACTGAGTATGGTATGGACTATGTTCATGGACGCCTTGTTTGACTAAGTCACGTTGACTCGTGGGTGACGTCATTTAGTCATACGGCGGTTGTACACGCGCTCAGATGCGGTCTGGGGCGTGACATCTTGTGCATTGGAGTTCCAAGGAAGTTGGGACAACCACTTAGCACTTGTGGAGTTTGCCTATAACAACAGTTATCAGGCAAGCATCGACATGCCTCCATACGAGGCATTGTATGGGAGGAGGTGCCGTACACCGTTATGCTGGGACGAGGTTGGCATGGCCAAACTCGAGGGTACTGAGTTGGTTGAAGTCACCAAGTCAAAGGTGAAGTTGATTCGAGAGAGACTCAAAGCGGCCCAGGATAGACAAAAGAGTTACGCAGATAAGCGTCGAAGAACGTTAGAGTTTAAGGTTGATGACGAGGTATTCTTGAAAGTTTCTCCTTGGAAAGGAATCATTCGATTCCAAACCCGAGGAAAGCTTAACCCACGATATATAGGTCCATTCAGAATTATAGAAAGGATTGGGGCCGTAGCATATCGTCTACAGTTGACTCCTGAGTTGAAGAAGATACATAATGTGTTTCATGTATCCATGCTTAAGAAGTATGTGCATGATCCCTCTCACGTATTGGAAAAGCCGCCTGTAGAGGTACGTGAGGATTTGAACTACGTTGTGCAACCAATCAAGGTCACCGATAGAAAGGTGAAGAAACTGAGGAGTAAAGAAGTCCCAATGGTTAAAGTCCTTTGGAAGAGCGATCGGGTCGAAGAAGAGACATGGGAAACAGAGACTTTGATGAGGAAGCAGTATGCTTTCCTATTCGAGTAGAGCTGTGAATTTCGGGGACGAAATTCCTGTTAAGGGGGGGTGAACTTGTGACACCGCACCCGAACGTCCTTGAAAATTCAATTTGAATTTCAAGTTTATGTATTGAATTTCCGATTTCCAAACAATTGTAAAACGATTAATGTTTTACGTAGTGCATGATTGAATATCGTACTTTTCAAACTCGTATATTAGTGTCGGGTTTTACAAATACTTATTCAGGCCTTATTAATGAACCTAAGAGCCCAACATTAGCTAAATAATGTTACACAACCTTTCAAGGCAAGTTGAGGAAGGTCGGGCGGTCCAACATTATTTTGGACCCAACCTGCTAAAAATAGCAAGTATTCAAGAATAGCGTCGTAGGCCCACTCGGGGGTGACCCACATGGCTAGTTGTGACACCTCGAAAAATTTAATAAAATAAAATAAATAAATTTTATTGGTTAGCAAAATATTATGAAAGTGATTTTCTTAGAATCAAGTGAATCAGATAAAATCTTAACATCAGTGACATTTTTAACCAGATAAAAATGTTTCAATAATAAAAGTGACATCTTATAATGATTATGTCGAGACCTCGACTTAAATAGCAAAAGTGACAGTTTTGTAACAAGTAATAATTATACATATAACATAAATAATAAAATTGTCATTTTAATGTACAAAATGTATTGTAACGCACACACAAATAATCATATAAATAATGCTACGTACACAAATGAAAATGTTGGGGCTAAATTATATACTAGTACTACCTCCGTCCCCCTAAATTTGGGGACAAGAGAAGTTGACACGGTTATTAATAAAAATGAATTTATATTGAATTGATAAAGTAAGAATAAAGTAGGAATGATTTAGAATCACACGAACTTTACAATAAAAAAAAAATATGAGACAATTTTAATGAGACGGACCGAAATGGTAAAATGGGACAATCATAGCGGGACGAAGGGAGTACATTGTATCAAACAAGAGTTGACCGAAGGGGACCAAAACCCACCTACACACACAATGGACCAATGTATGCGAACAAGAAATACACATTCACGCACATGAATATGTTGAAGCAAGTTTATTGCCAACCTAAACTCACATGGGTTGTTCGTAGCTACAACCTCCAACCTCATAGTATAAATAAGCAAGAACAGACCTTCAGCTCTCTTCATCCCCAACCCTGCGACATATATATATACGTGTATATATATATATACACTACGTATATACATATATATATATATATATATATATATATACATATACACAAATTTAGACCCTTCGTTTTAGTCAAAACCGAGCCATGAAAACACCATAGAAACCTTCCCCTTCTCGAGAGGAATCCAACGGTGAAAGAATCGTTGAAAACGATCGTGAAACGACGGAGAACAAGCTTGCCGGAGTTCCGCCGGGCTAACCGTAAAGACGGAAAACGGAGAAGAAGGAGGAGCTGCCGCTGCCGCCAACCCATCACCAACCTTCGCCGTCCCAAAACGAGTCTTCTACCACCACCGTATCACGAATTCGTCGAGGTAACCCCCTTCCCCTGCCTAGCTCGTTTTCTCGAGTTCATGATCGAGGAAGAAGAAGTGTACACTTTTTTTTTTTCTTCTTTCTCTCTTAGAAGATTGGGCCGTTTGGGCCAGGAGTTTTTATTTTTACTTTTGGGCCAAGACTCCTAAGTAGTAGAAGTAATAATAATAATAATAATAATAATAATAATAATAATAATAATAATAATAATAATAATAATAATAATAATAATAATAATAATAATAATCTGCAAAATTGATAAATTTGAGATGAGAAGTATTAATGGTGAAATTGGCTGGAATAATTGATAGTAACTACTTGGATAAATTTGTTAATTGTTATTTAACATAGTTACATATTGTTAAATAATAAAAAGGAAATTGATGGTTCAATTAATAAAAATTGATAAACAAATATTATATTATAATTATTTAGTTGAACTTAGTAGAGAAAATTGGATCGTTATTGTTTTCACTCATTATTGGATTATTGAAGTGGATTAATAAGTTAACGTAATATCAAGCGTTTAAATAATTAATTAATAAAATCAGATTAAGTTGATGACGATTAGTTAATTTTAAATAATTATGTAATATTCGGATTGATTAATATAATTAGGAAATATGAATAGTTTATTTAAATATAATTCGGATATGTTTTGATAATATTGAAATACAGTTAGTTCTTTGAATGTTTTTTTTATATGATGATATTTAAATTAAAATCTGATGTTGTAGTTAATTATATTTTTATTAGAATTCAAATACCGTAATTATTGACTGAATTAATAAGGTATTTTGATTAATAAAATGTGATTAACTCGAACAATTAATAAATGTACTTAACTAAATGAGTTAAATAGATCTTTTATATATAATTAATTAAGTAAATGAGTATATTTAAAAAAATGATTAAGGTCTGATCTATTAATAAAATTAAGTTAATTGATTTCGTAATTAAAGATTAGATTTCTCAGAATTAATTAATTAATTAATTGGAACTAATTAGTGATAATAATTAAATAATAGATTTTACTAGTAGACTAAAGTTCGACTAAGATAAATAAGTTAGTGACTAAATTGAAATTAGAATTAATCAGTTACTTTAATTAATTAAGTTTTAGCAGGCTATTTTCGGATAAATAAAATAATTAGGAATTTTTAGTATGTATAGCCGAAAATTAAATAGTAGTAGAAGTATAAATAAATTAAGTAGATTAAAGACTTAAATTATATAGTTGAATTTTATAGTCAAGTAGTGCTAACTACTTCGAATAAGAGTAAGAAACCGAATTAATTAAATTCAATAATGGAGTAGTTATTAATTTTCGCACATTGATAATATTAAAGGAGAGATTGGCGAATTCGTTGAAGACGTGAACTAGATTTCGAGTAGGGTTAGAGCAAAAGCGTGACTTCGAGGTAAGTTTCTCTGCCGATCCAAAATCGTTTCCTCGTATTATATATGTATTATGTGATACATGATTTTAATGTGAGTTATGATGTATATGTATGAGATTTTGAGATTTGTTGGACCTGTGATATTTGAGAGGTGAAACTAAATGCTTTTGGGTATTAAATATTTTATTTAAACATTTTGAGGCAGTTTGAGAAATTGAGGAATATTTTGAAGTATATTAATTCAAGATAAAAGAATGATTTCATAAGAGGTAGGCATCTCGGGAGTAATCCGAGGTGTTGGTTTTCCACGTCCCTTAAAATGTGGAGAGTGGTTAGGGCTACTACTAAGAAGATATTTTTGAGTAACTTTCGGATCGATGATCCCTTTTAAGAAGGAGAGTTGTGGTAGCAGTAGTAGTTCCGACGTAAAAGGGTTGCTACTGCTAAGGGTGAGGATAAGTTTTGAGTGATAATTGGATCGATGATCCCTTTTAAGAAGCAGAGTTGTAGTAGTAGTCCCTAATCATTCAAAGATATCTTATTCAGGGGTAGTTGGTAGACTGAGTCCCGATTACTCGTGACGACTTACTACTCGGAGGGCTTGGAATCCCTTTTAGGGGGTGTGCACACTTAAGGTAGTCGTTTCGTTTCCGCAAGAGCAGTTGTGGTACCGGCACTTGTTCGGGGTGGCCGTCCGTAACCACGGTCCACCGGGCTCAGTCGAAAGGTTGAGCACCGCCCTTCTAAATTACTAGGAAGATAGAGAAGAAGTGAATTTTGAGAAAATCTAAGAGAAGAGTTACTATAGTATTTTCAAAGAAAAGTTGAGGACTTTATTAAAGAAGTGATTTTGAGAAATATCAAAGAGAAAAAGATTTTGGTGGAGTGTGTCATTTTTATATAGTATTATATGAAAAACTATTTTTAGCCAAACCTGATTATTTTACGGGGTTGGGTAGTACTTACTTAGCTCTAAAGCTAATTTTTGTTCCCTTTTCTTTGTTTTGTTTTCTGCACTTTATTTGTGCAGGTGATGATGCTTATGTGGACTGATGATTGTATGACCACGAGAGCGGTTTAGAGATGCCTTAGTCAAACCTAGTTATAAATAAACAATCCAATTATGTTGAACACTTGTTTTACTTTGTTTGGTGATTGCCTGTGCATTCGGTTAAGAGATGACCGGATGTGGCGGTAACACCCATTTCCCATTTAATGTTATTTCCGCTGCAAAACTCTACTTATTTTGAATGAATAAATCAAGTTTATCATCAATAAATCTATTATTTCAAGTATTATTTTGGGAGGGAAAATGGGGGTGTTACAAATTGGTATCAGAGACCTTAGGTTTTTCGAAAGGATTAGGACACGGGGTAATAGGTCGTAGGGAGGAATTCTGTCAACGAGACGATAACAGTCTGAGCTGGTTGGTGCATAATTGAGCCTTTGCGCTCGTCCAACCAACTGGGAATTCCTCCTTGTGCTGAAACTTCGTTGTTCGAAATCTTTGACGAAAACCATGGTTTCGAAGTGGGGATTTTCAAAATGTTTTTCGTAAGAACTAGGAGAATGAACATACTAGGAAAAGGACCTTTCTAGGAACGCAGTGAGAAGGAGAAACCTTGACGATATTATTGAGTTATGAAATGCTTGAGATTCGTGCCTATGTGAAGTATGTGGACATGTTATCCTCTGTATGTGTTTATCTGTCATAAGAATTTGAGTTAGTAGAGAACTTGCATAACATAGAAGCCTTATGAATGCCTTAGTACTTAGTATTCGTTTTCTTTATTAAGAATCATGCCGCCAAGAAGGAACCCCCACACAACCCCAACCGTTGAAGAGCTTGCCCAAACTGTCCAACAAATGGCACAACTTATCGGAGCGGCTCAATCCTCGAACCGTGGGATTGATTACGCAACAAGAGTAGCCGGGCGGAACCCTCCAATATATTTGGGCGAGGAGGACCATCTTATTTTGGAGGACTGGATTCGCACCTTCGACAAACTCTTTGACTCACTCAACTGCCCGTTGGAGCAGCGAGTGAACATTGCGGTGTATTACCTTCACCAAGAAGCGGACCACTGGTGGGCCGCCACCGGACCAGCACTTCTCGAGCAACCGGGCTTTGACTGGGAGGACTTCATAGTAGCGCTACGGGATCGCTTCTATCCGGATCACGTAAAGGAGGCAAATTATGACGAATTTGTCAATTTCAAGCAAGGTGAC